TGAGCGCCGCGGGACCCGGGATCCGCCGGGAGGGAGCGGGGCCTTCAACAGAGCCCGAACCCGTTCGCGGGGAGTCATTCATGTGTTCCGGGAGCGAATACGTGAGAGAATACAAGCTGGGCTGCTTGCGTTCCCTTAAGAGAGCCCAAGGTCTAACAAAAGGACATGAGGACTATTTGTTAAAATTTTAGGTCTTTTCTCCAAGCAGTGGTTAATATGGGTATTTTTAGAACCAAAGCTATTCTTCCAATGCGTTTGTACGTTTTTTGTGTCATCTGGTGTGACTGAAGATGTTTGGGTTCTGGAGGCTTTTTTTTTGTCAGTAATGAAAGGATTAGCAGATTTGATCTGGTTCCCTACATACAAATATGCTGTCAACAAAGAGCTTTAGAGCACTTTAAAAGACATGAATTTTAGAGAAAACATTTTAGCAGTAGGAACAGATCTTACTTTTAGCTGTTCCAAAGAACATACCAGTCCTTAGTTTTGTGACAATCCTGTCTCCTACCCTCTGTGAAGGATGCCCGTCAGCCTTCCCAAAGATAAGCAAGACACTGGGTGCACGAGTTGTTTTACTGCTGTCAGAGGAATGGCTGGAGTGGTGCTGGATCTCCAGGAACACAGATAGAGCTTTGGTGGATGTACTTTGTTAGCTGATGGTGACCAGCTAGGGGGTGGAAAACTGCTTATATGTCTTTCTTTCTCCCCTAGATATCAGGGACACCGTGAAGTACAAAGAGGTCATGAAGCAGTATCCTTTTTTTTGTCTGAATAATGATATTTGAAATTTCAGGTTTTTGAAAATAATCTTCTGCATGAACACTGTGGTAAAGGGGCAGGAAGTGTTTCGGGGGGATTGCAGTGATGCAGAGTGTTGCATGAAGATCAAGAGGCTTTGACTGTGTATTTCTTGCATGTGATATTAGGGATGTGAGTTCTACAAGATTTGGCACTTAGGTGATTTTCTCCTGTGCTAAAAATGATTTTGCCTAACAGCAAATTTTTACAAGCAACAGGGACTCTGCCCTTTTGTTTTGTTTTATTTTGTTTTTTGTTTTTGGGGAAGCCATCAGCCTTTTCCCCATATTTTAACTAGTCTAATTTTATTTGTCATAAACAAATATGGAAATTCCTACTTGCCTGTAGTAGATGGAGAAAGAGATTTCTCCATTTGGCCATAACCAAAGCAGTGTTGTTTCTCTGAATGTCAGAGACATGGGAGTGTTTGCTCTTGCTCGCAGTGCTGCTGACTGTAGTGCAGTAACATTGTGCTGAAGTGGCTGCACTTCCAGAGGGCTGTGGAGATCCTTGGTCTCTTATGCAGTAGCTTGTGCAGATGGAGACAATACACAGTCTTTAGTTTTGACTTGCAAGTATGACTCTTAAATTTAATATTTTAGACAAGAATAAAGGGGGATAGGATTCTTGATTTTGGCTGTTGTTTGATTTGGGGTTAGCAGCAGAACATCCTAAATATAAGTTTCAAATTAATATGTAAGTGCATTTTTTGCTTCACTGCATCTGTTATCCAACACTGGAGTTGCTGTGCCTTGTTAATAAGGGCCTGAGGAGGATGTGTGGATGTTGAGAGCAGTGATGGAGAAAACAGTGTGTTATGAGTCACTGCTGGTTCTTGTGCAGTTAAAGCACAAATGGCAAGGAGCAGCCACGCAGCCCCTCTTCCTTCTGCCAATGGCACGTGTTTGGGTAAGAGAGCATTTGTTTCCCTGCTGAGTGACTTACAGACGTGTATTAATCGTTTATGGGGGATGTTGTCCCTCAATCTCAAGGTATCCAGAGTGCATCTGTTGTCAGAGGTGACAAAGATGATCTCTGGGCTCTGTGTAACTGTAACCCTCTGCTTTCCTGAATGGAGCATCAGATATGGGCTGGGCCCAAACGGCGGCATAGTGACCTCTCTCAATCTCTTTGCCACAAGGT